TGACAGGGGATGAAGTATCCCCAGCAGCACCCTAACTTCTATGCCAAATGCCCACTCCCTAGTCCCAATTTAAGTGATGATTTACTTTGACACTATTTAAAGCAATATTACTTTAAAAAGGAATATAAAATATGACCACCCGAGTTTAAGTAATACTGTGTATGTGAAATTTTTTACTTTTTAGTGCTTATTTGTATGTCACAGGATAATTGTTTTGAGAAATATACCCTTAATGTCCCAAGTACTAAGTTTTTCTGACTACCTTTTGCTTCACACAAAATAATCATAATTTTTTTAAATAGTCATCGTATTTTTCTGTAATTCTTTCCTGTTTTTATTTTCCACTTTTTCTCTACTTACATTACCTATTGTTCTAAAGTTCAGAAAAGAAAAAAAATCCCATGAATGTGCTCTGAGATTTTATTTTCCTACAATTCTAGGCTAGAACATTATAATAATCAATGTGCAATTATTATATCAGGGAAGCATTAACTTCCATATCTGTCTTTGTAGGATTTACATAATTCTTTATGGCACTCAATTATTATTCTCACCACTAGGACAATATTATATTAAACACTTTCTGTCTCTAGGATTGCAGATCTTGCGGTCATACTGAAAGAAATGATTAAGCAGTTTTGTTGTATGTACAACTGGCCCCTGTCATGTGGATTTTGTGAGAAGATGGATAGGATTTTAAATTCATTCTTGTGCTTCTATTGACATGAAACATTTCTAATTATAATTTTCTCTGGTTGAAAAGAGCATGTCAGTAGTTTTAATCCAAAGAAATTATTTCTAAATTGATAGTTCATAAAGGCACCTAAGTGACATGGTTGCTTTCTTCAACTGTTTCGAGATAAAGGCTCACTGAATATTGAAGTACTCAAATGCTTTCTGTGTCACCTGCATTTTTCTATGTAATAAGTTGTCCCACATGGAATTTGCTATCCATGTATAACTCGTTAATGAGGAATAAAAAGATTCTAGGTTTAGGAAGATGTCCCCCTCAGCAAGGGTGTTATTTCTAAGTCTCTGCCTTTCCTATCTTCCCTTCTCAGAATCCCAGGATCCATAAAAGGGCTATACAAAAACTGAGTTCCCACTATTTACTATAATTAATAAATGAGTCAGGAGATAGCACTTTCCAATATTGGTCATTAAGTATTTTTCAGGTGCATTGTGAAAAACAACTGCCAAAATTGTATACTGTTAAGTCACAATGCTGCCAGGGGATCCAATAAAAATCAGCACAAACAAAGGAATGAAAGTCAGCATTTGAAATTAGACTATCTACACATCCAACATTTTCTCAGTATTTTTCTTTGATTAGAACTCCTGCCACAGTGGAGACACATTTTCACTTTAAGAACTCTTATAAATCCATGTTCTCATTGTCTCTGATACATAATTTTTGGGGTCATTATGTTGCAGGTGCAAAAGAGAGTTATCTGAGAGGATTCAGCTCTATATGCTGTCCAGAGACTCAGACAATAGGGAATTCACATGCTGTCATATCAGGGGTCTGATTTGAGGGGAAAGGAGAGAGATTTGGAGAGAAAGGGGCATAGTAGTAGCTCATATATTATTTAAAAACCACAATGCTTTAGGTGGTCAGGGTATTGAGAGAAGGAAAACACCTTTGCATCTAGCACATAATGAAACTACCCCTTAATAGACTGACCATGCACAATAGAACACAATTATGATTTGCTTGCATAAGTCAACCGACTTTTCCCCAGGCAGCTTTGTGTGCAAGGATAAGATGGACTCTTGGGGATCAGAGATGCACTCATAAGTAAGAGAGCTTGCAAATTGTCCCAACTGTAACAGCGTTTTATTTAGTACATGTGGGGCTCTAATAAAAGTATTCCCACTGGACCCAATTCCATACTGTTTCCTGCCATAAAACTCCTACATATGTTACAGGAAGCTTCAAGGACAGAATCCTCTTGAGAGGAAGGACCAATTTAATAATATATTCCCCCTTCAGTATTGAGAAGACATACACCTGCACTTTCCACAGCTGTTGAAATCAGAGATGCACCCTGGATATACAGGAAGCAGAGCTTGTATTGATGAATAATTTCTACTGTCCTACACTTTCACCATTTTTGCCTTTAATAATCTAGGCAAGGTCAGCATTAAAGCAGCAGAGCCGCAGTCATTTATATGGTAATGATTACAAAGGGAGAAAGAAATGGAGTTCACCTTCAATTGTCTCTTGAAGTTGTTTTAACTTCCCTGTGTTAAATTCTTCCTAAAATACTTTCATAAAAAGCTGATCATTTGAAGTGAGATTGTTGCATTTTAAAAAGCCATCAAGTTAGTCCATTCCTATCCAAAGCAGCAGTATTATTTATTTATTTATTTGGTAAGATCGGGTAGAGAGGCTTTAGTGAAGCAAAGAATCTGGGGGTCATGGGTTCTCCTAGACAAGAGAGAACATGTGGTAGCTCCAGGTTTTAGAGCAGGACTAACAGGAAAAGTGGTTGGATCAAACTTCACCAACATTCCATCATGGACCAGTATCATCCCTGGCTAGAGGCACTTGGCAATAGTAGTAACAGTCCTTTTGCTGAATTGGAAGAGCAAAATATCCAAAAAGTGACATCAATGTTTGAAGTAACTACTCAGAGGCCATAGTTAGCCCATTCCATGATGTCAGTCATTTCTGTAGATTTTAGTAAAGCATAAAGGCTTTGACCCCAATGTCACCTACTAAAACCACATTTTAAACATTTATCAAGAGCCTGATAATTGACTTATTTAGCTACTCTCTCTCATTCTTCATTATTTTTTACTCATTCTGTTTGCTAATTTTTCATCCCTTGAGTTTCCTGATATGTCAGTCCTGTTGTCTCTGTAAAGTGTTGGAGAAAGTCTTGACTCAAGTTTTGGTGATGGTGGATGTGGGGGTGGGGAGGGGTGTTAGGCTCCAGTGGCTTCTTTGCTAGGAGTCAGAAGATGGGTTTCTTGCTAAGAGAGCCATTAGTTGGACAACTGAGTAGAATGATGAAGAGAAGAAAGAACTTCCTGCAACTTCTCACAATGTGTACCTGTCCTAGGGCTTCCTTCTTGTGCACAATGCCAAGTTAACAGCACATGGACTTTCTCTAGGTTCAACATCTCAACCCAGTGAGCATGTGGCTGCTGCCTTCATCAGTAGAGAACCATAGGAAATGTTAGATAAATTATCGAGAAGCTTTATTATCTGACATGTATAAATGATATTTCTGAGGTTTTCAATAAGGATTGACCTTCTTTATCAAGGGGTTTGGTCTTCAATTCCAAACAGGGAGATTTAAAGAATTCTGGAGCATTTCCATATTCACAAATTCTTCATCGCAGATTTAAGGGCATGAAAGGATGTGTAAATATTTGGTGAGTAGCCTGAGTCATTCCAGTGGAAATATTCCCCATCTGGCATTTTGGTATGAACTGAAAAGGTCACCAGCCTAGGTCTTGAGTTTTGATACAAATGTAAAAGTTCAAAAATAAATGTAACATAAAGGAACATCTCAATCATTCCCCTGAGCAGTAGATTTTCCATAAATTCCATTATAAAATAGGAGTTTCCTGATGCATATTGAATTAGCAGACTACAGTGTAGGTGTGATATCTGAGAGAGGACTGGGGCAAGGCAGAAAGTGAGGAAGAACTCATTCTATGGGACCTATGTGCTGTGGCATAACAGGTAGATCCACCCCCTGCAGTGCCGGCATCCCACATGGGCACTGGGAAAGCAGCTCTGGGAAAGCAGTAGAAGATGGCCCAAGTCCTTGGGCTCCTGCACCCGCATAGGAGACCTGGAAGAAGTCCTGGCTCCTGTCTTTTGATCGGCCCAGCTCTGGCCATTGCAGCCATTTGGAGTGTTAACTGGTGGATGGAAGATCTCTCTCTTTCTCTTTCTCTCTGTCTCTCTCAGATTCTGCCTCTCTGTAACTCTGCCTTTCAAATAAAATAAATAAATCTTAGAAAAAAAAGATTTATTTCACTACCACTGCCCACTGCCTCCTACCTTCTGTAGGTGGAGATCAGGAGTTTTCTCAAGTTAAGTGAGGACTTCCCGATTCCCTACAACATCTGAGTCTCTGAACTAGTGGCATAGATTCCTCAAACTGGAGGGAAGAAAGGAGCAGATTTTACTACTTTAAAACTCTGTTTATTGCTTTATCGCTTACAAATCACCTGATTTTTTAGTTATTATTACCCTTTGTGGGTTTTTTTAAATGCATATAACACATATGCTAAAAATGACAACACTTTTGTGCTTATTTATCACTTCCTCACTGCTGGGATCAAGATATAAAACATTAAGTGTATCACAAGGCCTTTGTTCATGCCCCTTCCAGTTAATACCACCAAAGGGGACCTTTTTCTGATTTTTGTCATGTTAGTTTTGTCTTTTCTGGAATATCATACACATAGAATTTTTAAGCATGTATTCAATTTTTTTGCTCAAATTATATCTGTGAGAAGCAGTCAGTAATTTGTTCTTTTCTAATCACTGTTCATGATTCACTTATCTGTTCTACTCTTCTCCTCTTGAGGGCTATGTTAGTTGTTCCCAGGTTTCTGATATTACTAAAGCTGCTATGAACATTCTTAAGCCTTTCTTTTGCTGTACGTATGCCTGCATTTTTCTTTGCTATAAATCTAAGAGTGAAATTGCTGGGCTATGGAATCAGCGATATTTGTGCAGCATAGGATGCAGTCTTTCAGAGCGCTGGAGCCATTTTATAATCCCATTTGCAAAGTGTGAGAGTTCAGTTTCCTTTTGCAGAATTGGCTGAGCAGAAAACAGCTAGGCTATCACCTCCAGACTTGTTCTAGGGGCTACTACAATCTCAAAAATTGTCTTCTACGCCAAGGATGCTTTAATATGAAAAGCTATGCTATTCAATCCTATCTTACGTGTCCCCATAGCAATCCCCTTTGTGACTCCTATTCCAAGGAGGGAATGCTGCCATTCAGATTGGAGCATAAGTGACATTTACCTGAGAAGAAGCAGATAACAGTACATCAATAGGATTAGTGACCATAGACAGAGTAGTGAAGAGCCAGATGCTTCTTGTACTGATGATTCATGACTGTTAGGGTGATTTTTACAAAGTGCCACAAGTTGGGTAGCTTACAACAACAGAAGTTTGTTGTCTCAGGGTTCTGGAATCTAGAAGTCTGAAATCAGATGTCTGTAGAGTGAATTCCTCCAAGGACGGTCAGGGAAGGAAGTGTTCCAGGTTCCTACCGCTGGTTTGTGGACGGCCATCCTTGCTTTAAGTCTGTTTCCTTGGCCTGCACCCCGTGTGCCTCACTTTATACAAATGTCCCCACGTTTTCATAAGGATGTCAGTCGTTCTTAATTAGGGGCTTATGTTACTTGAGTAGGACCTCATTCTAGCTTAAATAATTATATCTGCAAAGACCTTATTTCAAAGTAAGGTCATACATGAATACTTGAATGTAGGATTTCACAGAGGAATTTTGAAAGACAAAATTCAAGCCATAACGGATAGTTTAGGGACATTCTCCCGGTTCAAAATACATACAAGGAGGGTATTTAACATTGTTTATCCTCAGGGAAATGAACAACAGGACAGTGAATCACACACATTATGGAGAGAATTCAAGCATTTCCGACAGTTTCAGTTCTGTGTTGCATTTATCTGAATGATCTACCTGCACCACGATGATCACTCATTAGTGTGATCTGCTTCCGTGGATGGGAGGTTACTGTGTACAGTACATTAACTACAGACAAGGAAACTACTTCTCCCAGAGGAGTGTAAAATTTACAAGGGAGATGCTTAGTAAAACAACACACTTACGAGCACGACATAAATAAACCTTTATGTATTGCAGATGGTAAAACAGGTCTCTATAGCACTTACTTCTGAGATATGCTGCACTCCTAGAAAGGAACAGCTGGAACAATGAGAGCAGAGAAATGAAGACCGCAGGCTGAGACTGTGACCATCTGTAGTGTTGAGCAAGTTCCTGGGGCGGGGGTTGGGGGACGACAAACAGAAAACTGGTGAGAACAGATGACTGCTGTTTTTTTTCTATTCCAAAATACGTGTGACTGAAGCAGGGAATTGAAATCACTTGAATAAAAAGATTCACATAAAGTAACCCTGACAAGGATTGAGAACTCTGAACTGAAATTAAAAGTAATCACTATCTTCCTTTCTTTTCTTTTTTTTTTTCTCCAGACTATCTGAATATTTGCCGCAGGTAACATAATCTGTAATTATGAAGCATCAATAAGGCAATACTGCTATGTGAAAGATCAGTTCCCTTTCCTAACAACTTCTTTTGACTTTTTTCTAGAAAATTGTCCTCAGTGCATCCTGGCTTTGCTCACTGCTGACAGTGGGCACAGAGAAATGTCCCCAGTGAGAAAGTTCCCAAGGTGCCCCAGCTTGCTGCCTGCGGACATTTCTGTAAACAGTCCTCTAACACATGTCTTTCCCGAGCACTGTCACAGCATGGCCTTCCCTTTTCCGGCTGCCTGGTGGTTAGCCAATGCTTTGACCAAAGTTTTTACAGGAATCAATCTATCTCAGTATTCAATGTTTTCCAATGAAGTCACCTCTCTTGTGACAGGTTCAGCATTTAAAAATATTAAGCACCACAAACTGTAATATCATTGAAAAGATACGAATGTATTTTAATAAATCCTTTTAGCCTGGATTTTGCATTACTGACTTCCGAACCCAGGCAAAGAGTGGAGTGATCAACTTACCAGATACTTAAAAGCGTTTGTCACTTGAATCTATTTGCATCTTCGATTTAATAACCATTGAGAATAGACAGGATATGGTCCCCTGGTGATTGGGAAAATTTTTTTGGCACCCAGACTCAGTATATACATGAAAAGAGATAAATATACAAAATACAAAGTATTATTTAATCCCATAATTTGAGGGGCATTATAGTTCTAGCAATGTTGAAATCTCTCTTATAGATGATGAAATATGTTACCTACGTGACATCATGCCAACTTTACAAATCCTCCACATATAACATTAGACATACAGATCTGAAATCATTTCATAGACTGTGCTTACATTGAATTCCCTTTAAAAGTACATATTGTATAAATATCTTTTATGTGTCTGCTGTGTCTTTATAGTCCCAGTTTTGAAGCAAAGGCTTCAGGATATTAGGCCAGCACCATCTCCAGCTTGTCTATTAGTCTGTTTTCTTTATTGGAATATATCAAATTGTCATTCCCTTAAGATAAGGAGAGCAGGTGTGCCCATTGGAAACTGCCTCTGTTTAATTATTTTTCATAATAGAATTTCAAGACTGCAAGGAGCTTTAGGGGTCATTTAGCGCACCCCCTAAATTGACTTGGCTATACATCCCCTACCCAGAAAAGCAATGGACACTCACTAATCATGTTCAGAATGTCATCTTATGCCTCAAGGTGCCTTTATCATCTAAGTCTCAGCAACACCTGGGACCCACAGACAGCACAGCCAGAGAGATGAGTGAAAGGGTCCTTTTGAAATAAGAAAACCGGCCGGCGCCGCGGCTCACTAGGCTAATCCTCCGCCTTGCGGCGCCGGCACACCGGGTTCTAGTCCCGGTCGGGGCACCGGATTCTGTCCCGGTTGCCCCTCTTCCAGGCCAGCCCTCTGCTGTGGCCAGGGAGTGCAGTGGAGGATGGCCCAGGTGCTTGGGCCCTGCACCCCATGGGAGACCAGGAAAAGCACCTGGCTCCTGGCTCCTGCCATCGGATCAGCGCGGTGCGCCGGCCGCATCGCGCTGGCCGCGGCGGCCATTGGAGGGTGAACCAACGGCAAAAGGAAGACCTTTCTCTCTGTCTCTCTCTCTCACTGTCCACTCTGCCTGTCAATACAAGAGAATAATAAAGGAAAACCAGATAAGGCAAGAGCATTTGAGATCCATTTACTTTCCATTTGCCCTTCTCTTCCTTTGGTAATGCATGATAAGAATAATAATAGCTTTTTTTTTCAGATTCACTTAGTCATTTAATTTGGAGAAGAGGTCCAGAAAGAAGAGAATTGCTATCTTCAAAATCATTGCTCTAAACTCAAATCATACGTAAGCACACCTGAGTGTTTTTATACTTACCTGTCTGTAAGCTACTCCTAATTCTTCCCACTGTCATTTAAGAGAGCATAAGGAGAGGTCTTCAGCTAAAACAGACTTGCCGTTCCTCTTCGTAATTTCTTAGCAACAACACACAAGATAGAAGCGAAGCATTCTCATTTACTGAAATTTTTTGAATACTGCCCATATGGTAGAAATGTGATTTAACTAGAGGGGAAAAAGCAATATAAAGAAAACATTGTTAAAGAGCTGACAGCACACGGGAGTATGACTAGAAACATGATGTGCCCTTTTCAGCCCACAGGTACACTGTAAGATCCTGTTCTGCTGGGACCCACTGAGAACTGACAGATATACCTGGTGGATTTAGCCATCATTGGGGTATATGAAACATAGAGCCTGGTTCTTTTTGAGTTAGATTTTTTTCCCAGCAGAAATGTTATTTGAACATATTTCTTATGCTGAGGCCAAAGAGGAAAAGGCACAAAAGGAATAGAATGGAGGGTGAAAGTGGAAACATTTGGATCTTGATTGAAACTAGAAAAGAGTGAAGCATCATTTATATAATATTTAATATAATAAGACAATAAAAGAACCAGTTTAAAGAATGTATACTATTTTTCAAGATGCATGAAAAACCATGAACTCTCACAACTGTGGAAAACTCATAGAAAATTATCATTTTAAAATTTTCTCTGGCAAGTACATATCATGTAAAATATCTGTAGACATATATATGTATATATTTATACATGCATATGTGTCTACACAGATAATTATAGTTTTAATTCTCCAATGCCAATTCCAAATATTAGTGGGCAAGCATAATTACATTCCTAAGTAAAAATATGTTTAATATCTACATATGTCAATATATTCCTTCACCACTTGATTTACAAAGGAGATCAAGTTTACCATGAAAAAGAGGAAGTTGGGAGTTATATTAGGGGTTAATGCAAAGATAAGTTAGCTTGACACCCCTTACAAAAGGGAGTAGTTTGTGCTGATCTGATAATAAATGAGATCCTGAAACATGATATCTTCATGAGATAGAGGAGATGCAGCTGATACATTGTGAAGATATAGCAATGACTTTAGGGTTTGTGTCAAGATTGCTGGTCTCATGTGGGCAATGCTCCAGTGAAATAAACATGTGGCAAACAAGTGAATATTTGCATTCTGCAGAAACAGAAGAGGGAGAAAATTCTCAACATTATGTCCATTGAAGCACTTTCTAACATTCAAATCAGCTACTCTAAAAATGTTTATAGTTTTATAAATGTGAGCCATAGAAACAAAAGACGGCAATAATTTAAAGTGTTCAGGGATAAATGGATGAAAAATGAACAGAGAGACATAAGAAAGATATGAGTGTGTGTGTGTGTGTGTGAGAAAGAGAGAGACAGAGAGAGAGAGAGAGAGAGAGAGAGAGAACATACAGATACACATATTGACATTAGATATTCCCCAAATTTTATCATATAAGAAAAAAAGTCCAAAATATTAATGAGATCATCACATAAAATAAGATTTACAATTTGTAGGAGATAGTACTCAATGATTTTGATTTATAAAGGGAGTAAAAGGAAAAAGGGCAATGACTTGAAGGTGAATCTTCAGGCTTAAAAGCCACAGACAACACCATCTCACTTCTCTCTTGAATGGAACATACTGTTATGGTTATAAGACATAGAGGGCTGAATGTTGAAAGGGATGTTCGGAACCAGTATTTGGCCACTGGTGACAATGATAAGGGTAACTGTCTTTGGTTGAGTGTTAACTCTGTGTCAGACTCTGTTCTTATGCACTAATCTATGTGGGCTAAATCATTTACTTCTCACAACAATCTCTATTTTTCTGAGGAGGAAATACTGTACTAGACAGGGAGGTTAAGTGATTCACATTAAGTAGCACAGCAGAAAAATGGCAATCTGAATACAGATGCCTCTTTTTAAATAATTCTACTATAGTAACAGAATGTACCAAGACCTGATTAATGAATATATATTGTAAGGTCTGTAATTAGGGAATTAGCTGAAAGTTGTATTAAAGAAATGATTGGTGCTGGAGATCAGAATAGGAAAGTGACCCTGGGTTGATGACTTGAAGTACAGACCGGGGCTTAGTGTGGTGAGACCAGCACCAGATAAAGCCCAAATGCCTCTGTCCCTAAGCCAGCACACCAAAGTATTCTCTAGATCTGCCCTGGCATTGGGCAACGATCTGTGCCCTGGTGGAATGGCCTCATTTCTGCCTCATCATTGCCAGTGTCATGCAGACTAGAGTGCACCTTGAGGTTGTGAAGGGCCTTGGGACTGTGACCCAGCTCAGTGTCATACGGGATGGCCAAGCGACTGCCTCCATCACCTTTCCCAGAACCTCAGGCAGTTAGCAGGGAAGTAAGGCACAGGAGAGTAGAAAAGCAAAGGGAGCTCAGGTTGCCACTATAGTGAAACCTAGTACTAGACAGTGGCCAGAGGCCTTTACACTCAGGCTAGCACTCACAGTCAGAGCCTCCAGACCTGCCCTGGCATGAGGCAGGGACATATACCTTGGTAGGATGGAAGAGTATTTCAGACTGCATAATCCCTCCCATTCCCCACCCACACCCACCTCTGTGGGCTTGGTGTGTATCTGTAGTATAGCACAGTGATCTGTAGCTATGACACTCAGATGCAACTGAGCTCAATGTCAGCCTGAGCAGCCAAGGGGCTGCCTTCACAGTCCTTCCTCCAACCATGTAATAACAGCAAGGTAGTAGCCACAAGGGAGTAGGACACCAAAGTGTGCACAGGATTGTGTTGTTGATCTGGTGAAACCATCTGGGAGGCTACTACAGGTTGCTGTTGCCAGGCTCATCCCTATGGATGGAACTTCTGGGTATACCCTGATCCCAAGTGGACATTTTGCCCCAGTGTATTGGATTTCTACCCCAGTCAACTTGCTCCTGTAGTTAGCTGCAGCAGTCTTGGGTAGCAAATCTACTAAAGCAGTAGATAGCCTATAGGAAAGTCAGCCTTGGCTCTACTTTGTGATGCACAGGTCTTGGCAGGCTCTGGGTTCTGGATGTGATCCAACAATGTGGTATAAGAGGCCACAGGACTGCTCATTCTATTGCTCCTCTGACCCCAGGGCACCATAACATGGAAGTGATTATCTACTTGGGGCAAGAAAAGGTAGGTAAGGGCCAAGACATTGCATAGAAACCTGGGGCTGGTATTAAGCAAACAAATTTTGAGCTGCTGCTATACCAACCATGACCTGCTGATGTGGAGACCC